CAGTAATACTTAAATGAATTTGCTTTTATAGATGCAAAAAGGTATACAAATAGATGCAAAACTGGCCTCTACCAAAAGAAAGAGGGGGTCAACTGTACCTTCAGTGGACAAAATTCATTTACATGTTGATAGACAAGATCATTTACATTGATACCAATTACATATGATTTACAGAGTTGCAAAAACAGCTCAAACACAAGAAAGGCACAGACGATCCCATAGAATCAGATAGCCCAGAAGGGGACATGAGACAACACCTAATTTTCCTTTGAAAACAATTCATCTTTCAGGTTCATTTCATAATCTTTCATGCTTTCCCCTATAATGCTTTTTTTAAAAAAGGTTATCCTTATCATTTCTGTTACTTTGAATAAAACTGATAAAATGTTAGTCTGTTATAAAATACACCTGGGAGAATCTTCCAGTACTATCATATCCCATTTGGGTACTAACTGGTTAGGGAGACGAGGCAGAATTTGGGATCCCTTAGGATTAATCCATTTTCCAGTTGGAATGGGAACTATTTAAGAACCACACCAAATGACCTCAAACCCACTCAGGAATGAAACAGGGTATCACTAAAATACAGAAGATGTTGAAATGGTCCTCCTGGCTCATTGGGAGCCTTCCGGGTTGAATGGAGGCCTCTACCATGATGCCGGTCTTCCACGCCCCGCCCCACCCCACCCCTGCTTGCCTGGGAATGAAGGGCTGCCAGACTATACACTCAGCTTCCAATTCAAAATGGAAACCCTCATGTCCTGTGGTCATGAACGAGGGCAACTCTGGTTGCGGTTGGGAGATTTGGCTACTTCAGTCCAACAGTTTAGGAAGGGATCAGAAGGGCATATGGATGACATTGGAGAAAGCGTTCCCAGAGCACAATATTTCTCTTTGCGATTTTTGAGTGTTCTGCAGCAAAGCTGCCAAAAATATGAAAAGTATAAATAGAGAAGAGTGGGAAGGAAAAATGGGAACCTGTCAGAGTGCCAGAGAAAATTGGGAACTGAGAATTTTCCAGAGATGCAAAGTCAAAGGGGGTTAACGTTTACTTAGAAATGAAGTAGCGGGCAAAAGCTTTAGAATGAGACAAAGGCAAGAAAGACAAATTAGGGAATAGATTAAAAAATGTCAATTTAAAGTCTCTTTCATGAGGAAAGTACAGATCAGAGAAGAGAGGAGAGACTAGGATATGTTGACGCCGATTATGTCCTTACTGACTGAGTAGGTTTCATACCTACTTTTTTTATTGTTTATTTTTAAGAGTTTTAAGAGAGTGAGAGAGAGAGGAAGAGAGAATAAGTCGGGGAGGGGCAGAGAGAGAGGGAGACACAGAATTGGAAGCAGGCTCCAGGCTGTAGAGCTGTCAGCACAGAGCCTGAAGCAAGGCTCGAACTCATGAACCACGACACCATGACCTGAGCTGAAGTTGGACGCTTAACTGACTGAGACACCCAGCACCACCATATATATTTTTAATTTCATCTTCCAGTTCCCATTTCCTATGAAATAGGCGTCATCACCAAAGAAGATAGTCAAACATTTAACAGTAGACAAATATGTAACAGCACAGACAATGGACCCATCAAAAGCCAGCCCGCGGGCCCCAGTGGAGCCACGTGTTACCCTCCTTATGGCTGGATCCTGAAGTCAAGGTCAGGATCTTGGGAAGGGGGTGGAGGCAGTAGGGGACACAGAGCGGGCTCTGGCCAGAGGCTAGTCCCCAAACTTCGCACAGCTGAAATGGCGTGTGCCAACTGACTATCGGCTCTGAGTGGAAACTGGGGGACAGTGTCTTCTGGGCAAGTTTCAGCTTTACTCTCCGGCTTCCCTTTGTCGTCTCCAAGGTGCTCCATTAGCATCTGGGGGCTTTCCCGTGGCTTCTGGCTTCGGGGGGATGCATCATGGCCACAGCCTATGATCCCAAGCCCGCTCTGTGGAGTCTTGGCTGCTCCCTACTGACTCTTGGGAGGAGAGCAGGCAGGCAGGTCTTCATTCTTCTTTGCCACCTAATCTCTTCAGCATCCCCAACATTAGCATTCCAGCCTGCACACGTTCAGGTTCAGTTCTCTACCAAAGAAGGGAATTATAGTGGAGGTAAGGAGCGGTACGACTGCTGGATCGTCTAGAGTTCCAGAGAAGGTAGGGGCTGCCCAGACATCTTCGTTTGGTCTGCCCAATGCCCTTGTCCCCTCTCTGGGTAATTAAGAGCGTGGGCTTTGCCGTTTCCACTGCCTGGGTTTGCACTTGTCACTTGTTAACAGTGTGGCCCTGGGCTAGAAGTCATGTGTCTCAGGGTCAATCTGAATAGCTTATGAGAACTGCTAATTTTGTTCCGTGGACTGCGGGTTGGTAAGGAAATGTCTTCTTCATTCCTCCTTGCTCCTGCCTCCTTTCTTCCTCCTCCTCTTTCTCTGAAGTGTAAACCGAGGCATTTGGGAGCCTGAAATGATGGGGTGTCTGGGATTTGCTTTAAAATATATTCCAGGGGCCCCTGGGTGGCTCAGTCAATTAAGTGTCTGACTCTTGGTTTCAGCTCAGGTCATGACCTCTCAGTTTGTGGGATTGAACCCCATGTCAGGCTCTGTCCTCGCTGATAGCACGGAGGCTGCTTGGGATTTTCTCTCTCTCTCTCTCTCTCCCCCTCCTTCTCTGCTCCTCCCCTGCACCTACCCTCTCTCTCAAAAATAAATAAACATTAAATATATATATATATATGGGCACCTGAGGGGCTCAGTCAGTTAAGCGTCTGACTCTTGATTTCAGCTCAGGTCATGATCACACGGTTTGTGAGTTCGAGCCCCACATGGGGCTCTGTACTGACAGTGTTGAGCCTGCTTGGGATTCTGTGTCTCTCTCTCTGCCCCTCCCCTGCTTGCTCTCTCTCTCTCAAAATCAATAAATAAACTTAAAAATATATACATATATACATATGTATTCTAGACACCCCACCCTCCCAAGGAAGGGGGGCCCTGCAGTGGTAAGTGGAAGGGCAGATGAAACAGATAGTTGTTGAAGCACAGTGATGGGAACAGGGGACAGTGGACAGACGGGAATCCTTGTGCTCTCGACACTTTATTGTGTGTTTGAAAAAATTTCATAATAAGAGCAAACAAACAAAAACCAAATGATGCGGTTTTCATTCCCTATATCCAAACAAACATACCAAGGCCATAGAGTGGCTTCTCATAATTGCTTCTCTGGCATTTTATTCTGATTTTCTAGACAGACTCCACCTTTCATCCTCTGTTATATTCTCTCGGTACTGGCTGGAAATAACTTTCTTTTCTTCCTGAAGCCTTGCCAAGTCCCATGCTAGGCAATACGTTGTTTCAGATTCCATACCCACATTTTTAAAAAGTGACCAGTTTCCTGTTTGGAGTGACTTAAATACAAGACTGTCTTTATAAGGCATTGTCTTCCTCTGTTCCATCCCCCTCCCTTTAAAAAAAAAGTTTTATTACTTATTTTTGAGAGAGGCAGAGCATAAGTGGAGGAGGGGTGGAGAGAGAGGGAGCCACAGAATCTGAAGCACCTCTAGGCTCTGAGCTGTCAGCACAGAGCCCGGTGAAGGGCTGGGGGCTCGAATTCACCAACCGCAAGATCATGACCTGAGCTGAAGTCCCACTGAGCCACCCAGGCGCCCCCATTCCATCTCTTTTTTTTTTTTTTTTTTTAGCATTTTTTAAAATGTTTTATTTATTTCTAGGAGAGAGAGAGAGAGACAGCATGAGCAGGGGAGGGTCAGAGAGAGAGGGAGTCACAGACTGAAACAGGCTCCAGGCTCTGAGCTGGCAGTCAGCCCAGAGCCCGACGCGGGGCTCGAACCCACGAACCGCGAGATCATGACCTGAGCGAAAGTCGGACGCTTAACCGACTAAGCCACCCAGGCGCCCCCCATTCCATCTCTTTTTAAGGACTATTAAGGGTTAAACAGCAGCCTCGACCTGGTTTATGAAAGCAAGGCTGCAGGAAGCAAAGACACTCAGGGTGAAGAGTGTGAAGTGTGATTTGTGATTTGCGCTGTCACATTCAAGGGGGAAAAAAAGAAAAATGAATCATCATCATTTGACCATGGCATTCACACGAACAGCGGGGAGGGTGAGAGCAATGGGAGAAAGAGCAAGGGAAGAAGAAAGAAAATCTCAAAATAAACTTGGGATGGGCGGGGGGGAGGAGGCGGCGGGAGAAAGTCTCAGAAATTGCGGGGAGGTGTGGCGATTGCACCCATGCTGGCCACAAACACACAGATTTGCCAATTCCTGGCTTAGATTAGAAGTACATTTGCATGCACATCTATTTGTCGGCTGTGTTTTGTCGGCAGGTAGCGACAAAACCTTGAGATTTTAAGAACCCCGAGGACCCAAAGTCGTGCTCCGACGCTGCCTGTCCTGGAACTGAACCCAGAGAGGGGCAGGGAGCTGCTCAGAGGACCCAAGGCTGCCCAGCTGCCCAGCGTCCTCCCGACAGACCCCAAGAACGGAGTCCACGGGAGGAGAAGCTACGTTCGCCTGTGGGTGCCGGGGCTAACGCCGGTGGCCCAGTCCCCCACGGAGGCCTCAGAGCCAAGGCGACAGCGGCGGCGGCGCACCGGGATCGGAGGAGTGACAAGGCCAGGTGCTCAACTCCGGGAGACCGGCCTCAGAATCAAGGGACCAGCATCCCGCCACGGCTATGCTTTCCACGGAACAATCTCAGGGAGAAGACACTGGCTCCAAGCTGATTTTTCCAGTGGAAACGGTGGGGTGGGGAGGGAGCGCCCCTGACCTTTCCCGCCGGTCCCCTCCCAGGTTCACCCCGCCTGGCCCGGAGCCGGGCTGCCTAGAGGAAGCGTGCGCGGGGCCGCAGTGCCGCCCTCCGCCGCATGGGGGCAGCACCATCCGCGGTAGCGGCGGCGGCGGTCCGCGTGCCTCTCTTGGCGGCGGCGGGCGGAGGCGGAGCCGCGGCGTCCTCGCTCATTGGCCGCGGCGCGGGCGCTGCCATGTTGGCGGAAGCGGTGTCTCTGTGCCGTGGAAACTGGCCGTGGCTGCGGCCGCCGCCTGCGTGCGCGCAGCTCCCTGCTTCTCCTCGCTCGAGTCTCGGCGCTGAGAGGCGGCGGCCGGCGGGATGGAGAAAAGTAGGATGAACCTGCCCAAGGGGCCGGACACGCTCTGCTTCGACAAGGACGAGTTCATGAAGGTGCGCGCCGGGGCTCCGCTCCCCGGAGCCGGGCCGTGGGTGGTCGGCCCTCCTTTGCCCTCCGGGGCCTCTCCTCGGGCCTCTCCCGCGCGCTTCCCGGGCCGCGCCCGCCGTCCTCGGCGGGGACCTCGCTGCACTTCGCAGTGAGTCTCTTGGCCTCAGGTTCGGGAGGTGCAGCCTGGAGGAAGCGCTTCTGTGAAATCGCGCCGATCGGGTGAAAAGGCCTGAAAGTTTTGAGCTAAACGTAAACGCCCCTGTTAGGACCCGACTCTGTTACCGCGCGGGTGCAGTCAGATTGCCGATCCCCTTGGCTGACAGCAACCTGTTGCCAGTGCCTTGCACCTAGAAATCCAGTGAATGTGTGTTGGACACATCTCTAAACGTACGTACTCACCCAGGGATCGGGTCGGGTGAAAAAGGCACCTAGTCTAAAGTTTTTGCCTAACCTTCGTCTGAAGCTCCTGGAATGAGAGCTGTAAAAGATTGTACTATCCTTACTTATATTGCAGTACCACAAAGCAGACCATTCTTTTCTAAAGTTGCCCTATTTCTTTTTATACGGTGAACTCGAAGCTTGTCTGCAGATCATTGTAGGACATAAACTTAGTGAATAGAAATCTAAACAGAAAACGTTTTACTGACAATAAAGGTTCATCAAGCACAGCCTTGAAAATGACCAAGATTTGAATCAGAGCCAGGAGGAATTTGCACACCCAGTTTGTCTCCCCCTCTGGGTCTGTACTTAAACTATCAAAAACTGTTTACTTCTTAAGGATTGGGGTTTTTGACACCACTTGGCAGCCGGCATCAGTATTAAAAAAAGTTTTGACTCTGTGGGCACCTAAATTTTTGAACAGGTGAGTTTAAGTGTCTTATTTCTTGATGACTTTCAAGTCCCAGTATGTTTTTTTTCTTTTTCAGGGTTAACCGGCTAGTCCCCTTTTGATATTTGCATTCATCAGATCATATCTCCCAAACTCTGGCTTGAAAAAGCATTTCTGTCAGGATCCTCTGTAACGTGGCCATTGTTGTTTTTAATATGCGGGGCTGCCCAGACCGAGGAAGAATGTACTCTTGTTCTTGTATGGTGGTGTTTCTAAACCACTGTAATAAAAGGTGTAAGTCGAGTGGAATGTCTAAAAGAGACTACAAAGTGAATTCAGTGAACCAGAGCCCTTTGTTAGCTAAGGATACATGATGAGGAGAGATCATTGAGTGAAGAAAAGGCACAAGTAGGGAGTGAAAGCATCTCAGAGCACAGAAATCTCTTTAGCCAGTCTGACCTTGGACTTCCTCGGGCTTCCTTTGGGCGTAAGAGGAGCATTTTCTCAGACTTCACTAGCCCCGCCACCTTTCTCACTCTGAGCTGACAAAATGCCTCTGGTTGAAGCAGCTTCAGAAAATAGAAATCTCAAAATAGGAGTTCTAAAGTAGCGCCTCTAGGTAGGGAGAGAGCAGCCTGGTGAAGTGGCTCTAAAACTTCCAAAGGAGCCAGCTAATTACCGTGACCGCTTCTGCTTCCTAGGTAGAAGGAAAATACACGGACCAGCTGCTCTGTGTAAAAGGTTATTGATTTTCTAGGCGGGACCGGAGATTAAGATTATCTGCAGTGTGTGTTTCCTTCAAGGAGACATTTGATAAGTTACAGTTCCGGAGCGCTGGCTGTCGGGGTTGTATTTGGGGTTGTATTTCTACACGTTTTGTAACAGGAGAAGTTTTGTGCCTGAGGGAGAGTTAGAGAAGAACGTATTTTCACCAGCGAGAGGGGAGATGGCTTGAAATCCCTTCAGTTGACTAGAAATGTGTCATTTGGCCACACACACAAGGTAGACCTGCTTGGGCAATGGTGGCGGTGCTCATTCGGTAAACGGGCACTCGCCAGTCGCCTGCGAGGTGCTCGCCAGCAATCTAGACGTGGTGGTACAAAGATGGGTAAGGTCTGGCTTTGGCCCTTGAACACGGTGGTGGGAGGAACGTGTGTGCCCAGAATCTACCCTTAGCCGGAGAGGCTGGGGCCTGGAAGGGTGGCCAGGGATGAGACTGGCAGGGAAGATAGGTGCATGGGTGGGGCTGCAAGTTGTACCTTGTGTGCTGCAGCGAGGGGTGTGCGTCGAGGCGGTGTTCCTTAGGGAGTCACAGTCAGGTTTAAAGCAGGAAATTACTTGATCCTGTCTGCTGCATTGGAGCTGAGTGGCAGCAGGAGACTACTTAAGTTATTTCAGGGGTGCCTGGGTGGCTCACCCCGTTAAGTGCTGACTTCAGCCTCAGGCTATGGTCTCACCCGTTCCTGAGTTTGAGCCACCGTCTGGCTCTGTGCTGCCAGCTCAGAGCCTGGAGCCTCATAGACGACTTGGCAGCAGGGAGAGAAAGTGGCAGTGCTAACAGAGGTACATTAGGCCCATTTGCCTGGATGTGCCGCTGCCGCCCTCCCTTCCCCTTCCGTCCCCATGTATGACTTCATCCTCAGTTGTACCGAAAAGATACCGGCCATCAAATGGCCATCAAATGGGAACTCCTTGGTCTTGCTGCTAACAATCCCAGCCTTGTATTTGTTCCCTCCTCCTCCTCCCCCGGTATGCGAAGGGCTCTCCTCCCTCCTTGGTTAGCTCCCCCCCACGCCTGGAGCCCGGGCCCTCTTGCTTTCTCAGCACCGTGTTTGTATCCTCTCCTGCACTCCTTCCCCTTGCCTTACAGTCACACTCCCAGCCTCCTCCACAGGACCCTCCCCGTCTAGATGTTGCCCTGACTCTCGAGCACATCACAGTCAGTGCTCAAGGGTTGTCCTCACTCTCTCGCCTGTCACCCTTAAGGCCCCATCATTCCAGGGAAGAGTTGTCACAAAGGTAACTGGATGTAGGTCGATCCAGCTGGCCTTTTTCTGTCTCCTTACTTGACCTCTCGGAGGACCAGTTGCTCTGCATGGCTTTCTATGTTCTTCATACTCCTCTGGCCTGTCTCTGTCTCCTTGTGGCTGATGAATGGCTGGTTCTGGGCTCAGTCACGTGTCCTCTCCTTTCCCTGGGTGGCCCTTCATGCAGCTTTAGGGACCAGCTGTAGGCAGGTGAGGCAGATTCCTGTCTGGCCTAGGTGTCTCCTGAGCTGCAGACCTGTGTAGTGAACCTGTTGGCGTCTCTTCTCGATGCCTCTGTGGCTCTCAGACTCACCGTGCTCAAACTGACCTGGCGAGTGCCTCGTCCCCTGGATGCCAGCTTTCTTGTCCTGTGCCCGGCTCAGTACGTGCTCCACCATGCATCGCGTTGTAAGTCCGCAAACTGGAAGTGCTCTCCTCCATCACCTTTCCAGAATCCAGTCTGTCACCAAGTCCTGTGGATTTTGCTTCCCGAATACCTCTGGAATCCATCTACTCTCCATCTCTTCACGCACCTTCACAGTGCTCTCTGGCCGTCGCACCGTCACGGCCTCTTACCCGGTCTCTTTACACCTGTCCTTGCCTGTTTCTAGTCCCTGGTCTACACTGCAGGCAGAGCGCTCTTCTTGAAACACATATCTGGTCTTGTGTGTAACAGGTGGCTGGTTAGTCCACTGGCTCATGAGAAAACATTTTCCAAAACATTTGAACATATGTTAAAGAGGCTCATTCCCCTGCGGGAGAGTTTATTGGCAGGCAGTGTGTTTCTGTGCTGAGCCAGTCCACCCCTATTGAACTGTAGGCCCTTTCCTGCACCCCCAGCACATAGTGGCTTTCCTGGTATCCTGGGGAGGCACACAGTACCTTTTTAATGAGAAGCGAAATCGGGAACCCTCTTTATGGTGGCTTCTTGTAGATCTTGTATGATCTGCAGACCTTACAGAACTAGCTGGGGGTGAGTCATGCAGGCTCCTCCCTGTTCTAATTGGGTGAATTGGTTATATCGAAGCAGGAAGTATGTCAAGGGTGTCCCCATTCTCAAGGAGCATGTATTCTAATGGGGAAATAGAAAAGGGGAAAATGACCCACTGCTCAGATCTCCTTGTATTGTGCTGGGTGAGTGGAGACGGGGTCTGTGATCTGGAGACGGGGGTCCCACGTTCAGCCCTGCTGTCCTCTGGTCTGTGACTTGGGGCCGATCACTTGCTCTGGGCTTCGGTTTCGCAGTCTAATGGGCTGGTGCTTATTCGCATCATCTCTGCAGCCCTTGACATTTCATGCATCCGTGAAAGAAAGACGGTAGTCACTTTTTCTGGTTTGAAGATAAGGAAACTGAGGCCCGAGGTGTCCTGACTTCCCCTAAAGTCACACAGATATTTGGGGGCAAGTCATAGGCCGTATCTCCTGACCCCCATGCCTCAGGCCTGGGACATAATACTGTAGCATGTTTCTTCCAGAGGCCACAGCTGGGAACTTTGGGAAGTGGGACAGCTGGAATATTAAGAACATCCCAAAAGATGGCTCAAAGTCCGAAAGCTAGAGCACCTGCCTTTCCCCAGTAGGGACGAGATCGAGGCCTGCCTCGTATTTTAGAAGCTGGGCCCTGTAGATGAGAAGAGAGGGAAGAGGTGGCCTGTTAGCAGTGGACTTCGTTGACGGGACCTAGAGATAGTGACTGACAGAGAAGGGAAAGGGAAAAGTGGGGAAATGCAGACAGCAGCCTGATAGCAGGCCCCCCGCTGACGCCTGGCGGCCTCGCTTCTGGGAGCGCCTTCACTTCACGGGAGCTGAGCGCTCACTGTGCACCCCTTAGTTCTTAGTCTGATGCCACGCCTTGGTGAAAAGATCCCTTTCTCTTCCATGTCAGTTTGAGACAGACATGATGTTTTTGAGACTGACTGCCACAGAAAAATTTGAATTAGCCATATTTAGAACTTAGGTTACATTTCATTTTGTAGAAAAGTTTACTGATGCGAAGTACTTTGGATGATGGGAGATAGGTAACATTGGACAAAGTTTGTTTGATTGGCACTTGGTAAGAAGAGGTTCTTGCAAAAAGAAGTGGTTTTTTGTTGTCCTCGCTTTCGATTTTCTTTTTTTTTAATGCGTGCAATCATCTGATTTATAAAAA